TTTAATGAACAAAGCACTTTGTTATTCCCTAATGAGTTAATAATTCACAATTGGCCAAATATGTGCACCAATGAAAATAAAACTAGGATCGATTCAAGTCCAAAAATATTAAAATGATTTTCAATTGTAATTCCTGGACAGATTTATTGGACAAACATAGCCAATCCTGATGCAGATGATGATATCTTCTGCCTTGTTAATTCTAACAGTAATAAAGTTCATGCAATGCAGATGGTTCAATACATAAGCCAACCAACAATTAAAATGAAAATCAGTCATATTTATGGTCAGAGTTTCTCCTATGAAGTTCCAGTTGTCCATCAGATGGCACAGGAGACAATCACAATGGCCAGACAATATCAAATGCATTTTGGCTTTTGGTAAAATATGATCTCTTATAGATAAAAAACTGAATAATTGTATAATATTAATTTAAAATATTATCAGCATTATTAACTTAATAATATCATTATTGTCATAATATAAAATATTTTATATACAATACACACGTAAAACTGATGACCTGCTATATGATATCCATTCTATATATTATATTTATACAGCAATGAATGCTGAACAATCTCACCATGGATAAGGAAATACTGGAAGCAAAAGAAACAAAATTGACTTCACCTGATTGTCTGTTTCTTTGTAGCCAAAGTGATATAGGCACACCGGGCTAAACGGTAACTTTACTCTGAAAGGTGTAGGTTCAATTCTTGCCAAAGAGTGCAAATTTTCTTGAAATTTCAGGCTAATAGGTGAATATAAATAAATATACTGTTTTCCCTGATAGCTATAATCTCCAATTATTCAAATGTAATGTCAATCGATGTCAACAGATGCCCTGATCTATCCCCTATCCTTCTCTTCATCCTTTCCTCTATCACTCCTCTTTGCTATAGCTCCAACTCTCTGTAACCCCTTGCATGCTAGTTGCTTCCCACCTTGCTTGGGGTGAAACGCTTGGAAAAAAAAAAAAAAAAAAAAAAAAAAAATATATATATATATATATAAATAGATTGCCAACTCATATATGAATATCCACTAATAATAACATTTAAAGTGATACAAATCTGTTGGATTAATAAGTACATTCTAATATATATATATATATATATATATATATATAAATAAAAAATATGTTTTTAAGGTATGTTATATTATGTCTATAATTGCCCACTATCAGAGAGTGTGTAAATATAAGAATGGACATTGAGGTCAATCTTCAGGCCTGAAGATTGTATTCAAGCATGAAACAGTCTGTTGCTGCTCTGTGTTGACCAGTGTCCACTGTTTTTATATATATATATATATATATATAGTGAGAGATTGATATTTTCAAATAGGTCCTTTATTTTCTTCCAAGGATTCCATGTAGATCCACCAAGATAAAAGAATATATATATATGAAGAAATATAGTCTTAAGATGTGCTATATTTATGGGATAAAGTGCTCAATATCAGAGATAGAGTGTGTGTAAATATAAAAGTGAACATTGAAGTCAACACTTAGAGACTACAGTCTGTTTTATACTAGATGCAATCGTCAGGCCTGACAATTGAGTCTAGCATGAAACAGACTGTCACCTCTAAGTGTTGACTTCTATGTTCACTTTTATGTATGTATATATATATATATATATATATATATGGGTTTCATCAATTGGCTGATAATTGGTAATTTAATTACTTCAAATATTTTTAAAAAATTAACGAGAATCTATCAGAATATTAATTAAGTTCATTCAATGTCAAAGATAACTCTTGTGATTTTAAAACTGAGGATGAAATTTCTGTAGCGTAATAAACAAAGAGAACCAAGTATGAAAATTGATCAATAAATAAAAAAAAATAAAAAAATAGAAGCAAATGCTGATATGACCAATTACTGATTCTCAGCCAATTAATTTGTGCAACCCTTAAACACACCCACACACAATTATATATATATATATATATATATATATAGCGTAACACTATAGTGTAAATATGTTTGTTTTTAGGATCTTACTAAAAATGTGCCAGAAATAAAAGTAAAGTTTTTAAGATAGTAACCTCATCAGAATATAAATATATAAATACACTTTAACTTAACAGTGCATATATCTATAGTTGAACCTGTTGATATGTATAACACAGATACAGAACAACTAGAATATGTATCACATGCATGTATAATGTATATAAGAATAATGTATTCATATACAAGAATATAAGGTAGAGATTCTTGTAAATTCTGTTATATATGTATGTAGTAAGACCACCAACAGAATATTTATATTCCACTTACAAAGAAGCCAGTCAGAGTGTATTGGCAGTATATTCAACAAACAGATTTTTCTTTCAAGCAGAGAGCAAACTCTTATACACCAATGTAGTCCTTTTCTGTATATAACCAGCATATTTCAGGCTTCAGGATGAGCCTTCTACTTCCTTTCCACCCTACTTCATTCTGTTTTATTATCTTTGTTTCTTGTTTTCTCCACTTAATCTCAAAAAGCAAGAAATGAAATGAAAAGAACCAAAAAGAAAAAAAAAAAAATCAGTAGAAATAGGTCTATATACTGTGTAAGAGGAAGAAAAAAAATAGGTCTTTCTTTTTGAAAAAAATCTTGACTAGAGATGATGGTAGCTGTGGTAGCAGCTAACAACTGACCAAAACAGTGGCTTACAGGAATCGGCTGGTGGCAAGTCACATTGGCAGTTAGCAAGGCAAGATATTGATTTCTGTAGTGGTTGTCAGGAACTGACAGGGCAGTGCACACGCTGCCGGCACAACAGACTTGGACTTCTTCAGAAGACAGTAGGGATAGAAGCATAGCAAGAATGGTAAAGAAATGTAGAGCAGAAAGTGAAAGAGGATAAAAGACAAAGACAAGAGGAGCTGGTCTTAATTTGGAGTGTGGGGAGTGTTAACTGAAATTGGAAGTGCTGTGTCATTGTTGAAAACACTTAAACACATAGATGCATAATTATTGATGATATACAAGACACTACCATTTTTCAAAAGTGTTTTTAAAAATATTTGTCTTATATATGAAGCTGAGTTATCTAGTAGGCTAATGTTTACTAAGACATTGAAGACAACCAGTACTTGTTCGTAGCTTAAATTCATAAGGTTGTAATATTAAATGTAGATGTTGGGGTGGTCTTATTTGCCATCACACACATGAAGATTAAAATGTGATAAAGTGTTTCCTTAGCTTATATAAAGTAATTTTTAAATCTTAATGAGTTACTATATTAAATATTTTTATTGTTGTTTGTTTTGACTATTGTTTCTTTAGTCTTCATCAGTTGTATAATTTACTTGGTAGGTGGTGGTTGTTGCTATTGATAGTTCTAGATGCTAGTATTGGAGTTGGTAATAAATCTTTTTACTGAATGAATCATACACCTGAGAGACTGAGGAATCCATCATAGTGATAAAGTCCAACAAGGATGAAAAGATTAATTTTTTTTTTTTTTTAACAACTCATGGAATGATGATAATGACAAATCTTAAAATTTCAGGAAATGTTCATTTTTCCTTTACAGTGCATTAGTATAAAATTTCAGCAACTTTTTAAAAATTACAACTATTTTGACACACATTGAAAAAACACAAAACCCAATTTAACTTTCAAAGCCCATTGAAAAAATAGAAAACTATATAGAACAAGTAAAAAATACAAGTATAGGAAATGAAATTCTACAGAAAGACAAAATATATCACAAATATATAATACACCAAGTGATTTTCTAATATCTATTACATGTCTATTGCAATAGCTGAAATTTTGCAGTACTAGTTATGCAAGGTGGCAGTGTCTTTGCTATATGAAGTAAAAAGAGCCTTTAAGAAAGAGCATAGTTCAACAGTAACTGAAAAAATGTATTTAAAATGCCATAATTTCTGATGGCATGAGTAAACAGGTTGAATTATAAAAGCAAAGTGGATATAGATATTAGCACTGAATTGTAACAATGTTTTATCCTTAAGCACAATCCTCAGGCTATATATATATATATATATATATATATATATATATATATAAATGTATATACACAGGGTTATTCAAAAAGAAAGAGCAGATTTTAAAAATTGAATAAAAACAAATGCTAAAACTCAGAAACACTGCTGGATATGAAAAGGTTCAACGTTTATTATTTAAATGTTGTTCAACATGAGCACCATGTGTTGCGCAACAAACATTGAATTCTTGATAATAAATTAAAGCTCGGTGAAATCAATTTCCAATATACTGGCACAATTCTACAATATGTCTGATTAAGAATATAAATGAATTTTTTTAAAGAAACATTCAACTTAATATCAGCCTTTGACTATATTAAATATAATACAAATTATATTAAATATAATTTTAACTACAGCTCAGTATTCAAGTTTTAGATGCTAGGCAATACTATTTAAAAAAATAGAGTGTCTACTCAAATATTAATATCCACTAACAATGATGTTTAAAATGATAAAAATATGTTGGATTAATAAATAAAATAAATAAAAATCAATTATTCTTTTAGATATATGTGTGTGCATATATATATATTATATATATATATATATATGTGTGTGTGTGTGTATATATATATATATATGTGTGTGTGTGTGTGTGTGTGTGATTGTACATTTCTGATTAAGTTTGAGTATATCTGTACGGGCATGTAAATTTGAGTAATATCAGAAGGTAATATATACTTTGGTATGCATGTGTGTATGTGTATCATTGATGAAGTATAAGGGAAGAAAGTTCTTAGAAATTAATTCCACTTTAGTGCAGCTGGTTTTCAGATTTGAAAACAGAATAGAACAGAATGGTTATCTTCAAGCTTCAGTGGTTATTTGTATATTTTAGTGACATGGAAATAGGATTCTTTAAAGTAAGTTGGTTGAACTTTGCATAGTTTTTATTTTATTTTTATAGGGAAGAGGGGTGGTATTAAAGTTATGAAAAAGTTAAGTGTAGTCAGGAAAGAAATGTGGCTGAGAAATGAAATTATTTTAAAGTCAAGGAAAAAGAAGAAAAATGGAAAGAAAGAAAAAGGAAGAACAAAGAATGGAAGAAAATGATGAAGAAGAGAAAGGAAAACAAGAAAGAAAGAAAAAAAATGAAAAAAGACAAGAAAAAGAGCGAAATCAAAGAGAGAAATGTCTTAAAAAAAAAAAAAAAACTTAAACAGAATAAAGGGGAATAATATGAAGAAAAATCAAGACAAAAAAAAAGGAATAAAAAGATTTTCACTCTTTGAGTACTGATGTGAACCTGATAGTTGGCACCAACTTTTCAAGCAGCTTTCTTTTATAAATTTCTTTGGAAATAGACAACAACAAAAGCCAGGCATTAGACAGCAAAGACAACACCACAAATTCTATGTCTGGTCTCAAAACCAAAATACAAAATGAATTGCAATATTTTCTTTTATAAAAATTTACTTGCATGTATATTTTGCCTATTTTTTAAAGTCATTTTTTTCTTAAATTTGATGGCACAAGGATGAAAATAGCAGGATTTCTTTAAAAAATATAAAAAGAAAAAAGTATTTTTTTGTAGAGATATTTTTAAATATGCCAAAATGTAGGTTTTAAACAGTTTCAATTTTGTCTGCTCCACTGTGAAATTTTGTAAGTTTTAAAATTTTTATCTGCTAAAGGAAAACACTGTTCCTTGCTCAAAAAAGAAAGCTTTTTTTTCGAAAGAAAGGCATAAAAAAAACAAAATAAATGAAGAAACCTCATAAATTTTTAATCAGTATAAATTAAAACTTTTGAGATGTTTGTGGTGATTTCTAAGTTATCAGCAAAGTGCTGCAAGGCATGTGTGAAGACAAAAAAAAAAAAAAATGTCAGCCTCTCTAAAGTGCAGTGTTGATTCCCTTAACATATGTTTATTGACTCCAGGAAACTCCTGACACTGAAGAACAGAGTGAGGAGACAACCTGGTCTGTCTAAACATATGACACTCAACTAGCCAGAACTAAGAAGCGACAACAATAACAATAGCAGCAGCAGCAGCAGCAGCACATAGCTTAAAAAAGCAACATGCAGCAAAAAATAAATAAATAAATAAATAAATAAAAAGCAAAAGTAATATATTTCATTTTTATTCTTTAAAAATAGTGATTAATGGCTTACAAATATCCAGCACTATTTTAATAATAGAAAAAAAATAAAAGCAAATTCATGTTTGTAAATATGCTTATTTATACAGAGTCTGCCAAAAATATGTATACACAGTTCAGAAAAGGAAAAACTTGTCTTTCATAGTCGTATCAAATTGTGATAACACTGTTTACAATATTTTCTCGACAGATAGCATTACCCTCATGGCTGTTACTCAACAAAGGTAACTTGTATTAATCTTGTGATGTCTGAATATATTTAGTATTACAATATCTATACAAGTTTTTCCTTTCCTGAAGTGTGCATACATTTTTTGGCAGATCTTACTCTCTCTATAAATATATATATATATATATATATATATATATATATATATATATATATATATATATAAAAGATAAAAAAAAAAAAAAACAATAAAAAGTAAAAGAAAAACAAAACACTAGCATATTTATACCAAAATTTACAATTTATCTCATAGAAAAAACTTAATTACAATTTCTTACATACTAAAACTGAATATTGAACAAGTAAAACAAAATTTACTTTCATTTTTGAGGAGACCATCCCAGTTTTACAGATTGTTTTATAAATAGAAACTTATGAGAACAAATAGTAAACTAAGAAATTAAATTAATTTATAATCAGTTAGAAATTAATTAAGCATCTGGCATTTATAGACAATAAATATACACATTTATCAACTGAAAACATTAGTCATCTGGTTCAGGGAAGAACAAAAAAATAGTGTGTGAATTAATTAACCATAATATAAAACCTTGAACCCTTTGATTTAAGACTAATATTGGTAAATGATTTGAAGAACCATTTGCCACTGTAGAGAACAATAATTGTTATTAAAAAACAAAATCTAAAAAGAAACCAAAAAACATGCATAAAAAACATGAAAGCAGCAGACTGAAGCAGAAGCAAAGCAAATGATTGAAACAATTTTAAAATCAAACACAAAACAAAAATCTGGCCATTTGTAAAGATGTGTTGTTCTTGAATATGATTGGTTCAGTTAAACATCCACACAACAATCCACATTACAAGTCAACCAATCAGTGCTTAAGGATTGCAAATATCCTATACAACATGCTGCATCATGGACAATAAATACATCAGGACAATTTGGATTAAACAAAATATCAAAATTAAGAAAATACTAATTTTTCTTTTTTTTGCAAACTTACTCATATTATAAATATTTTTATTAAGCTGATTTTACTACATTTATTCAGTCATTGGGTCACAATAGTCAGACATGCAATCAGGACTGAACTCATGACATTAACTACCAACCCTGACTTTAGAGTTTAGCCTCTCAATTTTAAATATTTACAAAACCTTTATTTGGCACAGGTGTATAACTGTAGGGCTTCCACCCCACAGGAAGAATTGAACTTAATGTAGTCTATGAAACCAACTTGTTGACCACTGTTTTGTTTAATATATCATGTTATTGGAAGGTCCATAGTTACAGCATTAGAATAAAACTAAATGGCTGCTTAAATAAATGGATAATAAAACACTTTTAATGTAACTAATCTAGTAGAATTGGTAGAATTTTTGAATATAGTATAAAATAACATATTTAGTAACTTTTTGTTTAATTTTGTGTTTTTCTTTCTTTGGTAGAGTAGCTGAAATTGCACTGATGCTAGCAGTGTGTTACTTAAAATTTAGTTAAATTTTCATTATAACTGCTTATAAACAAGTTGCTTATATATATATATATATATATATATATATATAGTGTATGTCAGTAGAATAATAACTGTGTTTGTCATGTGGCAATAGTAAACCACTATTGTGGTATCCATAGAAGAGACAGAAATATTTAAAGTGTAGGCAATGTTAATTTCTGAACATATGAGAGAAACAAGTAAAATAAATACATACACACAATATTACACATTGTATACTCATTTCTAACAAATACATTATATTTAGACAAAATGTGAGACACATCTGTATAAAGATTAGGATGAAGATAGATTGAAATGTTCTAAGTACAAAAGAGTTTGTTTAGCTTCAAAATATGAACAAAGTGGAAATTGCTATCAAAACCAATTAGTCACATTGCAGAAAATAGAGACTATGGTATGTTAATTGTAACACAGCAAGGATAAGATTATAAAAAAGTCAATGAATGAAAGACTGATGAAGGTTATAGAATGTCAGGGTGCTTAGATTAACATTTAGAATAAGATTTATAAGGAATATTGTGTTAATCAAATCTGTGCTTTGAGGACTTATTTTCTTTAGCATTATTCATAAATTTATGTTGCACTTAGCTTGTTTTCATAATAAAATCTGACAAAACAAGTTAGTTCAATATTTTGATAAAAATAGATATTATAAACTTATAATGCATTGTATAGGATTTTACTGACAGAGCATTACAAATAATTTTACAGTAAATGCAATGAAAATCAGGGAAAAAAAGGATTGTTAGTCGTCAAAAATAAGCAAGATTAGGACAATTCCACAAAGATTCCAGTTAGCTGATGAATGGCTGTTAAAAAAATTATCAAAACAAATATTTTCATGTTGTATAACATTTGAATTAACAGCGTTTCTTTGGCCTATTAAAATATCCAAGGTTACATAGCCTTGGATACACTACAAATAAAGAGATTAGTTCATTTGAATATTTTTCTCAGTCATTTGAAAAATAAGACAAGAAAATGAGTCATTAGTTTTTTTAATAAAAATGATCTAGTAATAATTTTAAAAAATTTCACTTAGCATAGTCATAAGATATTTCTGAAGACTGGTTTCAAAATAATCCTCAGAACTAACTGTTATGAGCAGAGTGGCACACAAGTGTTTGCCCTAGTTTGAAGAATCTGAAAACATCTCTATAAATGTTTGACTAGTTTGTGACTGAAAGGAATAATTCAGACCAGGATATAAATCCAGGGAGAGCTCAATGTAAAATACAGAGCATTATAATGATAAAAAGAAGATAGAGACTTTAATTATCCATTTCATTTATAAATTTTATTTCATGAACACTGAGATGTTCAGCTCATCAGAACGAAACCTTCTCTGCAAAGGTTTCCGTTTGTAGAGAAGGTTTCATTCTGATAAGCTGAACATCTTGGTGTTCATGAAATAAAAATTATAAATGAAATGGATAATTAAAGTCTCCATCTTCTTATATATATATATATATATATATATATATATATATATATGTATGTGTGTGTGTGTGTATGTGTGTGCTGATAAAAGCTACTTTATTCATTACATTTTGCATATTGACAGTGAGTATTACATATTTTTTGAACTTGACATCTAATCCCTTTTTTTCAAGGTTAAAGAGATTAGCTATAAAGAAACTTTTTGATAATTTAAAACTTCTCGTAATATTGTGAATTCTTGGATAATTACATGTCAAGTACAGAGGACCAAAAGAGTATTTGTAATTTTAATTAGACCAAAAATCTAATTTAAAACCTTTAACAAAACAACTCAAAATATGGAAAGCTGGTGGGCAGATCCTGGATTATGAGCAATTTGGGGATCCAAATGGATAATAAATTGATGGATTATACAGTTGATCAATGTCTTGGTAGGAATATTTGTTTTTATAATGGCTTGGGATTTTCCTTTTTTTAGAAAATGTTGATCTAGAAAGAAACCCAATCAAGCTTGCTCAACCAGAGTGTATGGAATTATCCAGGCCCTAGAACACTCACCAGATCTATACATGGTAAAGCAAAGGTTTTAAGGAACAAATTAAATACCTTTTCTGAATTTCGTTAGCTGAGGTGAGTCATACTACAAGTAGAAAATATTGTTTTTATTAGCAAAGTACATTTCTCAAAGAATTCAGGCCATCATGGAACCCCAAGGAGGAAAAATAAAGTATAAATTGTGATTGATTTGTTTATAATTCCATAGTTCTTTTCTTCCATTTTGTAGAATTCCATTTTTTTTTTAATCTGGAAAAAAATGCCATTAATTTATATAATTTGATCTAATTTGTTTGAGGTATATTTCATGAAGGCGGATTATTTC